TTTGCAATCCCTTTCCTAATGATCACTAGCATAGAGTTTTCCTTTTTCTGCTGTACGAAAGTAGCATTCACCATAAAATAATGGATAATAAAATCCTCCAGGGACAACAAACATGTTAAATCCCTGTGCAAGGCAATTCGATTTGCAGTTACCAGATCTCAAGGACAGAATGTAAATATGGATGCCACGAATGGTCCTACAGAACAGTCAGAGTGGTTTACATGTACCACACACTCGTTCCCAGAAAACACAATTCACAGAAAGAATTAATATCGAGGAAATTAAAAACCTGATCCCTTCAAAAGACCAAAACAATATTTAAAAGCTACAACAGATGTGGATCAAACTGGTATATTTCACAAATCATAATTATCACTGTGAGCATAATAAAAATCACGTACCTTGAAACGTGCATCTTCATAAAGGTGACACCAGCAATATTAATCAAAGCTTAGATCAAAAGGGCTAGAAGACAGGGTCTAACCCTCGTCATTAATGCTAAAGTAAGTCCCTTTAAAAATCTGTGAACCATCTAATAAGGAAGGCGTCCTTCGGACATTCTCTTAATGACATGATCAGTGCTTCCTCCACTTTCTTGCATGATGATCAGAGAATGTCCAAGGCCTTCTGCTCTGGGTTTCTGTTAGTTGCAATCAGGAACCAAAGAGACGAGATACTGTTCAAGAAGGCATGCACGTGTCTTGTGTAACCAAGAACCACAGCACGGCAGAGATCTACAAGGAGTGAAACTTTTAACACACTCTCTGACCGGTGTGCAAGAAGCCATGGGAGCACCCATGCCAGCGAGAGTCCATCTGAAATGGACCTAAGAACTCTGCTGGATGGAACCGCTCCTGAATTACATATGCATGGATATCTAGAAGTAAAGTTTTATATTCCTCTGTAGCACTCCCGACAGTGACCAAGTGGAGCCCAAGCCGATTCTGACAGTGATCAAGAAAACCTCCGTGATGCGTACAGTGTACAATTTAAACTGGAGAATACCATCATACTCTCCAGTATTAGAGCTTTACTTGTTTCATGGTAGGCCAAGAAACGGTAGCATTGCACTCAGCAAACCAGACAGCTGCACAAGAGTCATTTATAAGACATCCAACATCAACTCTCTACCAAAGAACTTTTGAAATATCCATTTTAATATGGGCACTTCTCTGCCGCCTGGGACACACATTCTTACATGCCGAGGCCAACACGTACATACAGACATTGTCACATGTCGCATTTCCCAAATATGACCATTTCCAGAGTTTCAAAATCCACAACATCCTGGCAACATGTGGCTCTAGTCTCAAGGAAGATATCCCATGTTAATCTAGCAGACCGAAGCCACATTAGGCCCGAGGCACAGAGTTATATCTCTGTATGTCATCTGGTGGGGTGGACCCTGTCTCCTCCTACCACTCCACTAGCAAAGTCTGAAGCCTTCTTCTAGCCCAAAGAAACTTTGTCCAACTTAAGCGGCACCACCATAGGATGGGGATAGAGATCCACTCCAGTATTATCAACATGAAGCTTCAATGTATTCAGTATAATAAATGCCAGAAGCTTTAATGTATATGCAATGAAAACCGAGCATAGCTCATAAATCCAGAGGAGTTAGCCATGTTAGTCTGTTGCTGCCAAATAGTAGAAAACTCAGTAGCATCTTTAAGACTAACAAACTTTACTGTAGCATAAGCTTTTGAGAAACACAGCTCTCTTCGTCAGATGCATGGAGAGCTGTGTTTCTCGAAAGCTTATGCTACAATAAAGTTTGTTAGTCTTAAAGGTGCTACTGGGCTCTTTACTATTTGGTAGCATAGCTCAGTTACCCTTCCCTGTGCATGCGCAAAGGCACCCAGCGTGTCATAGTATGTCTGGTGTCTAGTTCAAAGAATGGGCGACCACACAAGAACCATGGTGTTCTAGGTACAAAGCTAATGTAAAAGGGTAGAAGGGTTTCTTACTGAACTGTTGACCAGATTGCTACAGGGTATTCTCCATTGCCAAAATACATTACCACATGTAGCAATGTTCTCTTGCCACAGCAGTCATTGCATCTTAAAATAAGCATTGCTTTTCTGGAACAGCATCCCTTCCCAAAGGATCACAAAAGTTACTAATACTCAAGGAAAAAGTGAGAATTAAAACGTATCAAAAGAAAGATTGGACAGCCAATCTTATCTGAAAGACAAGAGGTTCTTTCCCCCCCTTGATATTTATAGTTATTAGATCTTTTAAAAGGATGACTGCATGGTGGGATTCTTAGCTGGTACTAATTAGAGCTGCTTTGTGAAAACTGGTAGAGTTCTCCTCCAAACCAGCTGGAGTTCTGGCCCAGTGTAGGGTGGGGTTTACCAATTTGTAGAGTCTCATTGTATTCCTGCACAGCAGGAAGTTATGTGGTACAGCAAAATCTGATGGTGCGCCTTCTGCTGAACTGATAAAAAAATAAATGCCATGGAATGAAACCTTTCATTAAAAAGACATTTCTCTCTAATCTTTCCAGCTATTTTTAACATGTGTAGGGTTTTACGTCCTAATGTTTTATCTTGTATACTGTTATTACCTTTCCACACCTGAGACAGAAAAACAGTCACTTGTTCAGGGGCACCCAGTGAACTACACGGCTCAGCTAGAGTTTGAACCCTGGCTTCCAATAGCTATGTCTAACATCCCAATCATTTGTGCAAATTTTATCTTTAAAAAAAGAAGACTGGGGGTGGGTAGGTGGGAACCAAGATGGATGTGTACAGGGGATCAGGTAGCCAGGCCCAGAGCTCCCATGGGAGTTTTCTGCAGCCCACTGTGATAATTTTACTTATTTATTTATTAGATTTATTTATCGCCCCATCCCAGCTTATGCCGGGCTCAGAGCAGTGTACAAGACATAATGTCATAGAGTACAAAACATTAAAATTCATATATAACAATGAAAAATTCAGTGTAGATAAGAGAATCCAGATGGCGATTTTCTTATGTTATTTATCCCGATTCTGGACGACCAGCCCGTTTTTCTGGGGAGGGGAAAGGGAACTCAGAACATGGAGGGGGAAAAGAAAGAAGGAAGGGTGTCAGCCGGTGGGTAACCATTGCTGCCCTCAACCAAAAGCCTGGTGGAACATCTCTGCCTTACAAGCCCTGCAGAATTGCATGAGATCCCGCAGGGCCCTGATTCAATTTGGCACAGAGTTCCACCAGGTCGGGGCCAGGACCAAGAAGGTCGGGTCCTGGCCCTGGTCAAGGACAGCTGGATATCCTTTGGGCCAGGGATCACCAGCAAGTTGTTGTTTGAGGAGCATAAAGCTCTCCGGAGAAGACGGTAATTGGGGTCAGGGTCTGAAATGCTGTAGGTGGAAGCTTCTGGCAGAGGACACAAGTGGGCATACCTGACTTTCATATTAAGGATGGCCAGTCTAATGGCTGCCAACTGCAGGGGCCCACATGGTACCCCCCCATTCTCTTCTGAACCCCAAAAGGGCTCTGCAGTGCAAGTACACTTCCTCAGCCTTAATCCTGCAGGCTTCCTGTGGTCCTGGAGAACAATTTCAGCAAACTGTACACATTTTTCTCCATCCCGGTTTTGTCCTGCTTGGGGTTGAGGAGTAGGTGTCAGTTTATTGGGACTGCAGCCAACAGTGCCCTACCCTAAATGTTATTCCAGCAAAGCAGGAGAGTGAACTAAAATCCTTAAAGTACTCTTGCAAGTAGGTGGAGCTACAAGCCCCCCCCCAGGAGCAGGCTCCAAGTCCTTAAAGGTGCCACACCCAATTACAGCAGCAAGTACTCTGATGGGAATGGGATGGTTCTTTACTTTGTGAGGCTTCAGGTATCTGTTGGGGAGAGACCTCATGTGCTGCAGGCAACAGTCTCAGGGTTGGGGTGGGGGTTCAGGGTCCAAGCCCAAAACAGAACACAAGGCTGCATTCTAGGGTGGACGGGCTGAGTCAGACCCCTGGGGTTCCTCCTGTACATCTAAGAGAGGTGTCTCGACTGCTTTTTGTTAGGGTTGACAAGTCCCTTCGTCTTGCTGGTGGGAGGATCTGGGGGGTGTTCAAGGAGCTGGTAGGGACATCACATCCCCGACATGCTGCCATCACCTGGAAGAGACATCATCACATCGGTGCCATCAGGGGTGATGCTCTGGTTTGGGGGCAAAATGCTATGGTAAAATGAGGGTCAAGCCATAGAGTTTTGCCCAAAAACCAGAGCGTCACTGCACAACGTCCCCGACACAATGATGTCACTTCCAGGTGACATCAGTGCATCGGGGACATCGCTGTTTGGGGATGAGGGATGAGGTCTCCCCCATTAGCCAGCTGACCGGTGGCAGACAGAAGCCCCCAAATCCCAGACCTGGGGAATGGCAACCCTGCTTTTTGTTGTGATGGTGTCAGGTCTTCAGGCAGCCCCCTTCCTTGTCTGAGTTTTTGTCCTCTTTCTCCGATGAGGAGAAGTCCGCATTCTGGCCAACGACCTATTTCCCTTCCTCTACCACATGTCCCCTCCACTAAATCCCCACCGTCCCCCAACATTCTCATCCACTCTGCAGTTTACACAAGGAAAAGAACGACGACCCACCCCCCCAGCCTTTCATTTTGCAATGGCAACTGGAATATAAAGAGAGCATCTTGAAATGGGGAGCTGGTGTACCACCTGGCTAAGATAACAAACCATGATCCACAAGGTGGTTAGTTCAAATCTTATCTCAGCCATGAATTTCCTAAGTGGCCTCAGGCAAGCTACCCTCAGCCTCAGTTTCCCCATCTGCAACATGTGAAGCACTTGGAGTGCTGGAAACACTCTATGCAAAAAAGAAGGTGGGGTTATTGTTATAAACTTGCATGTTTTCTTGGTACCAAATTGCAGAAATCCACAACTAGCATTATAAAGTCACTCAAAAGGTTAAGCCTATCAATGCTAGTTATACCTCCACATCATATATGCCCGAAGTACCACCAAGATTTACACAACAAAAACATAACCATCCCTGTACTTACCATCCTGTACAGTTTGTCTTCGAGATCTTGATTAATTCTTTGTAAGGCTAGGTAATTGTTTTGTATCCTAAAATAAAGATGAAATTGTGTAATTAATGTATCTTTTGCACGTTCCATTTTGTACCTTTTAACCACAAATTTTCCCATGAGCAGCTGTAACTTAGTTTCCCACTAACTTTAATTAATGACTATAAGATCATAAATTCTGCTGCTTCGTAAAGCTGTTTTTTAATTTTTTTTGTGAATGTAAGATTTGTTGGTTTCAAAAACTCATTTAGTCTTTGAGAGCTGTTTCGTAACCCAATCCTTAGAGGTCTCAAGTCCTGCTTAAGGCTCATGGATATCTTCATACGGGAAATGTTTCAGGGGCACACAGATATTTCCAGTGAACCCTTAAAAATGTAAAGTATGAATATGACAAGCAGATGTTTGAGAAAAAGCCAGTATCTTAGCTGAAAGCTGGGATCTGCAGTTACTCCGTGTCGAGCATATGGTCAATAGCAAAAAACCAAGTTTGCTATACTGTGGAATGTGTGAAATGGATCAAAATGGGTCAAAGAGGAGCTGAAATGCGCTGTGCTGCTCCCCCAACACTTGGAAAATCCAAATTGAATTTATTTTGTAGGAACACATTTTCACATCATTTAACTTTGACGAGACACAAGAGAAGGCTCTTTTCATTGATGTTTTTGTACACAAGAACACTACCTTTGGCAGCTGGAGGGGAGTTGTGGAGCAGAAATGAAAATGTTGAGAGCCAGTTTGGTGTAGTGGTTAGGAGCATGGACTTTAATCTGGGAGAACTGGGTTGGATTCCCCGCTCCTCCACATGCAGCTGCTGGTGTGACCTTGGGTCACTCACAAGTTCTCTCAGGGCTGTTCTCTCAGGAGCACTTCTCGAAAGAGCTCTCTCAGCCCCATCTACCTCACAGGTTGTCTGCTGTGGGGAGGGGAAGGGAAAGGAGATTGCAAGCCTCTCTGAGACTCCTTCAAGTAGTGAAGGGCGGGGTATAAATCCAGTCTCTTCTTCGCCGTCGTCTACAAGCACAGATCCCCACAAAACAACTTGTTTCACAATGAGACAATGCTTCCTGCCCTCACTCTGAACTGGCAGTGTGATATCGTCACGTGGATATATCTGATCGGTCACATGGCGTCATGACATCATCACTGTCATGATGGTTCTCATCAGCTGGGATCACTTGGCGAAGGTGGACCCCTGGAGGTGGGAACGCCGCAGAAGCAACAGAAAGGGAAACTATTTCCACAATCCATAAAAAAATTGAAAGCATTTGTGGGAACATTTTCTCAGCACCCCAAAACCATTTCCTTTGCTTGGACATGGCTTCATTAGTTCGTGTTGCTGAAAATTCATGCTGGCGACTCTGAGACTGAAAATATTCCAAAATCTTCCAAAGAAATTGTTCAAAAGGAATCAATTTTAAATAAAAGTGTGATCTTGTGAATATCACAAGCACCTGATCAAAGCCACAGCACAGCTCTGAACTGGAAAGATAGTAACTCTTCTGATCTGTTCCCAGGGCACAACGCTGTGAAGTTTCCATCCTAGCAACGTGGCAAAAATGGCCCCTTAGAAGGAAACAGGTTTTTGGTGTGTTTTTTTTTTTTAAACAAACGTGCCCTCTCTTTGTGTACAGTGCCCCCTAAAGAGTTGTATTATACAAAGAAGTCACTGTTGGAGTAGGGCAACTTATCATGCCTGCGTTACTCTAGATACGCATATGTGTTATCTCTTTAATGAATGGGATGCCTCGCTTTGTCTTAACCTGGGAGCTTCTCTCTGACTCTTCCTCTCTTCCTGTGTCCTTTGTCTCTCTCTGTCCTCATGGCTCTTCAAGGAGCAAGACGTATCTCTCTCCTGTAGCAGCTGTGTCCTCTTACTTGGCCACACGTGATGCCGGAGTCGCTGGCTATTTGTGACGAGGGCCCCGGTCATACGGGCCGGAAAATGCGGGGGGGAAGTGTGGCTGTTTGCCCCGGGGCAAAATAACATGCGGTTGCGCGAGCAGACGTCCCGTGGAGGTCCCGTGTAGGTCCTGTGGTTAGGGGGGAGGTGTCGATCACAGGACGGGGTTGTGTTGTTTTTTAAAAAACTAAAGTGTGTGCATGCTCCGTTGGGTGCTTGTGCGCATCCGTGGAGACTTGGGGAAAAAACCCTTTTTGCGAGGGGAAATGGGCGGGTGCCGGAACTACCACCGGAAACGCGATCAGACGCCCACCCATGCCCCGCGGTTTCTGGAAACTAGTACCTCGGAGGTACTAGTTTTTTACAGCGCATCTTCGGAGTGAAGCCTCGGGTGAGCCACAGGAGCTCTACGCTTCCCAGATGTGGCGGTGAGATCGCGCCCGGAAAATCCGCCTATCTTCCGTCTCTCTAGCGTGCCTAATGCTCCGTGTGACTGCAGCCAGTGAACAGTATTCTTGAGATTAGGCTTCTATTATCTCCTTTTCAGTGCAACATAGTTGTCAATAGAATCTACTTCAATAAATATGAGTTTTAAATTTAAATTTTATTTTATTTTTGCCATTTACTTCTTTGGAGTTTATTTACAGCACTCAATACCATGCTTCTATGACTGCGCGATCTGTATGCATCTGAAAGGCACTTAGTGATCTGGGGAAGTCAGCATGGTTTTGTCCCCAAGAGATCTTGTCGGACCAACCTGGTTGCCTTCTTTGATCGTGTGACAAGCTTACTGGATCGTGGGAACTCTGTTGATGTGATTTACCTGGATTTCAGTAAAGCTTTTGATAAGGTTCCCCATGACATTCTGATGGGCAAACTGGAAGACTGTGGACTGGACTATAGGACAGTTCGGTGGATAGGGAACTGGTTAGAGGACCGCACCCAAAGAGTGGTGGTCAATGGCATTTCATCAGATTGGAGGGAGGAGTGGGGTGCCACAGGGCTCGGTTTTGGGCCCGGTACTTTTCAATATGTTTATCAATGATCTGGATGAAGGGGTAGAAGGGCTACTCATTAAATGTACTGATGATACCAAATTGGGAGGAGTAGCAAACACCCAAGAAGACAGAGTTAAAATTCAACAAGACCTGAATACTCTGGAGAAGTGGGCAGTTGCAAACAGGATGCAATTCAACAAAGATAAATGCACAGTATTACATCTGTGCCACAAAAATGTCAAGCACAAATACTGGATGGGGGATACGTTTCTGGGGAGTAGTGTATGCAAAAGAGATCTTGGGGTAAGAGTGGACGGTAAACTAAATATGAGCAGTCAGTGTGATGCGGTGGCAAAAAAGGCAAATTCAGTCTTGGGTTGCAATAAAAGGGTCATAGCATCGAAATCGCAGGAGGTCATAGCCCCTCTGTATACTGCCTTGGTCAGACCGCACCTGGAGTACTGTGTGCAGTTCTGGAGGCCTCACTTCAAAAAGGATGTGGACAAAATCCAGAGGGTGCAGAAGAGAGCGATGAGGATGATCAGGGGTCTGGAGACTGAGCCCTACAGGGAAAGGCTAAGGGCCTTGGGAACATTGAGTTTGGAGAAGAGGAGATTGAGGGGGGACATGATTGCTCTCTTTAAATATCTGAAAGGCTGTCATTTGGAGGAGGGCAAGGAGCTGTCCCAGTTGGCAGCAGAGGATAGGACCTGAAGCAATGGGTTTAAATTACATGCAGAAAGGGATCGGCTGGATATTAGGAAAAACGTTTTCACGGTCAGAGTGGTCCAGAGGTGGAATCAGCTGCCTAGGGAGGTGGTGAGCTCCCCTTCACTGACAGCTTTCAAGAAGAGGCTGGGCGAATATTTGTCAGAGATGCTTTAGTCTGGTCCTGCATTGGGCAGGGGGTTGGACTAGATTGTCTGCATGGCCCCTTCCAACTCTGTGATTCTATGATTCTATGACTCTGCTGTATTAACTAATGCATATCCCCAATAATCATGTGTTCATATTTGCCATGCGGGTCTGAGAAGGAAAATACAGCCTACAATAAAACTGTCAAGTGGGACAGATGGTATTTGCACTTTGCTCACAACTGAGTTCTTGCTCATCTTTAGAGAGTGGAACTGTATCTTTTGTCAATAGCGAAAGCATGTCAAGGTCACCTGAACAGTGGGCTACATCCAAAAAGCCATGGTGGATCCAAACGTCCTATTCCACTCAGGGAACAGATCAGGATCCCCAGCGTGGTGCCTGCCAACACCTTTTTTTTTTTAGGTGTTTGTAGAAAGTGGGTGGAGCCACATGGGGTTCTTGCCCAGCAGAGCTTCTGATTGGCCACTGGAGTTCTGATTGTCTGTGCAGATTAAAATAATGTTGCTTCAGCAGCAGCAGCTGCCACCAATGTTGGTTTTATTCTTTCTCACTCTGTTTTCTCACTGTATTTTTAGAATTACCCTTTGTTTCCCCTTGTACTTGGGCTTCCTTGGTAGCTCTGCCTCCTGCAGCAGCCATTTTATGGCTGGCTCCATCTCCTGCAGCAGCCATTTTGTGACTGTGTCCACCACTCTGTGTCAGAAGTACAAAAGTGCCTACAGGCTGAAAAGGCCGGGGTTATCCTGGAACAGATTTTTTTTCCTGCCTTGTCTCTGCGGGCCAGTGTTGCTCCTGGAGGTCACGGGGACTTTCTACAAGTTTGGGTTGTGATATGGAGGTCAGGACTGTGAAGCTGGGAATCAGCAAAAGCCTACTCCTGGATCCCAAACACAGTAACCAGGAGATGAGAACTATCAGGGCTTAAACTCCCCAGGGCTCAGCCCTTTTTTTGATGCTGGGCTTCATTACTGACTGTGTAAGGTAGCAGCAACATGAGTGGTGGCTCATGGTAGCGTGAAGACGCCATATATGAAAATCCACATGATAGGCCACTTTGGGTACAGGCTGCTGGGGGCAAAGATCATTTGCTCCACAGAGACTGTCGTCTAACCTGTCTCAGTAAGTTTACTGCAAAATTACAGAAAGATGGGAGAAATGATTAATTCATTGAATGCACTTGTAGTTCTTGAAGTGTACCAGGACAAATAAAAAATGAGTGAATCAGAAGACTTCTTCTTTTGACATTTGCAACCAGGCCATGTTGAAAATTGTAGTGTGTTTCCCACCCCCCATTCATAAGTGATGAAAAAAGAGCACGAAATTTGGTTACTTGCAAAAGGCGAGCCTCAAAGTTAACCACTTAATGTCAGCATTTTCTGACTAGCCTTCTTAAAGAGCGAGTAGCAGACATCAATCTTTGTCATTCCCCCCCCAACATTTACCTAAAATAATACATGCAACCTCTTTTTGCTATCATATCAACAAATTAAGAACTGACCGTCTCAGTTTTTCCGTCACTTTTTCAAGTTCTTCCTGAGCGCGTCTCAGTTCTACTTCAAGATACTGGCGTGTAGAATCAAATTCTGTTTCAAGCATTTCCAGTTTGTGGGCTGTGTAGGAGAGACGCTTGCGCAGTTCCCCCTTCTGTTCTTGCAGCGTGCTGGAGGGAAGAATAAGGCAGCCAGTCAATATTTCTGCAAAGGTTCTCAAGCAACTAGTTTTAGAAATTATATATCTTTGCAGTCTTATTAAACACCAGTGGGGAAAAAAAATCTGGGTCCTGCACAGCATCAGTCTTGGCAGCTTTAAACCCTGAATTTAAAAAAAGCTCAAAATCACATTACGAAGTCACATACAGGAAGATACTCTCTAGACTGCAGCAAGTTTTTTTTAAAAAAAAGAGAAAACGGCACGCAGAGGCTGAAGGCAGACTGATGGCCTCTCTTCTGTTAACTGCTGCCTGAAGCTGTCTGTTACACCTCACTTAATCATAACCGCTGGCCCTTAGGCAAAGTTTATTACAGACAGATGATAGAAGGTAAATGTTTTTCACCCAAGTGACCGCTCTGTTTCCTGTAAAGAAGAGCAAGGGATTGAATCTTACCACTCTGATCAGTGAGGTCTGAAGATTTTCCCTAGCCTAAAGGAGTCTTTTTCTGACAGAAGTCACTTCACTCCTTAGGCTGGGCAGAAGGATTTAAACTTTGCTGAACGTAAAAAGCCTGCCTTTCTCTCAGATCGTGGGGGCCCACGGCAGGTAATAACAACAAAATCAGCAGAAGATCATATAATTATAAAAAATTGAATTAAAACAACCAACGGAAAAAAATCAACAGAGGTTGGTGTCTTTCACGACACCCACAAAGCAATCACCTTGAAGAGCGAAAAGCTCCTTTAAAGAGCTCTACTCTACCAGCCATCCAAAATGGCAAGAGAGACACAGATCTTATTTCCGCCAGGAAGCGATTCCACATCAGAGCAGCCACAGAGCAGGTAGTGATGAAACATACCATTGCAGGGGTCAACATGACAAAACATTATCAGTCCCTGGGCTCAGTTTCCCAATTCCGAGGAACTGAGGGGCAAGACAAAAAAGGCCTGGATATAGTGACACTCTAGGAATATCCCCTAGTCTCTGTGGCAAAGACCACAGAAATCAACTGAGGCAGCCTAGAACATCTGATATCACATCCTCTCCAAACTCCACCTACCTCAGGCACCACCCAAAAAATCTCCCAGCATTTAACAAGGCAGAGTTGGAAACCCTGTCCTTTAGGTATGTGGGCCCAGGTCCTGAAGGGCTTCAAAGGTAAACACCAACACCTTGAACTGGACATGGAAACCAACAGGCAGCCGAGGCGAAAGAGTGCAGCCTGGCCTGGTAACAGATGGGCAGCCACATTTTGCATCAATGGCAGTTTCTAAATGTCTTCAAGGGCAGCCCACAGAGAGTATATAGTCAAGCCCTGAGGTAACTGTTATATGGATCTTCATGGTCAGACTGGCAGTTTCCAAATAGGAGGGAAAGCTTATGGGTCAAGCATAGTTTGTAAAATGCTCCTGTGGCCACTATAAGCACCTGTTTCTCCAATAATATCGCTGGGTCTAGCAGGACTCCAGAGCTTCTTATGGTGTCTGTCAAAGAAAGGTGGACCCACCTTAATGTGGGGATTAAAAACCCTTCCAAAGCAAAGTCTGAATGACCAACATCAGCCCCATCTTGTCAGGATTGAATTTATTCTCTCTTGGCCAACTGGCCATGGCAGTTAGGCACCAGCTCAGGGCACAGCATCCAATATAAAGCCAGGTATCATCTGCTTACTGATGACAGTTCAGTTTCGATCCACTTGCATTACACTTTGTAACTGGATTCTACTGTGTAAAATGGCAAAATCCGCTTGCAAAGAATCACCAATGTGCATTGAAAGTGGATTCAAAGTTCCTTATTCACCATGTGTGTAAGCGCCGGCAGATGACCTCATTTAGGATTCTCATGTGTTGAACAGCATTGGAGACGGCACACAGCCCTGTGGCACTCCTCACAGAGAATCCCTCGTAGCCAATTGCTCATCTCCTGATATCAACTCCTATGTCTGACTGATCAAAAAACACCTCAGAGCTACACCTCCAACCCCTATATCTGATCTCAAATACTCTAACAGTATTAAATGATCGACTGTCTCTAAAGGTGCTGTTAGGGCCAAAAGGGGGTCATTTCCCTTACTCAGCTGTAAAGGAAATCGTCCAGCAGAGTCACTGAGACAGTCTCTGTCCCCGTATCAGTCTGGAAGCCAGACTGAAATGAGACTAGGGCAGATGTAACAGCACAATAGACGAGGGGTACATGCCACAGTCCATCTGAGAGCCAGTTTGGTGTAGTGGTTAGGAGCGCGAACTTTAATCTGGGAGAATTGGGTTCGATTCCCCACTTCTCCACATGCAGCTGCTGGTGTGACCTTGGGTCAGACACAAGTTCTCCCAGAGCTGTTCTCTCAAGAGCAGTCCTCGAAAGAGCTCTCTCAGCCCCACCTACCTCATAAGGTGTCTGTTGTGGGGAGGGGAAGGGAAAGGATTGTAAGCTGCTCTGAGATTCCTTCGGGTAATGAAGGGCGGGGTATTAATCCAATCTCCTCTTCCAATCTCCTCTTCATCTACACACCCAGCTTTATTACATGGGTGGCCTTGGACCAAAATCCATCCTTTTCTCTGCAACTTGACCTTTCACTGGCAAAATGGAGAATTAAACTTATTTCCCCCACACACACTGTTGAAATTCTGCATTGTGTAAATCTTTCATAACACAGCAAACTAAAGTGGGGGTTGGAAGACAAATTACTCAGAGGTACTTTGCAATTTAAAAAGGAACCAATAGGTGGACCTTGTATTCTTAATTTTTTAAAAGGTGGATGCATATCTATATATCTAATAGCCAACTTGCCCCCTCCGTGCGGATCGCTAAATCAGCACGGAGGGGGCAGGTGGGGGGGAGGGGGAGGTTTGTGCACACGTGGGCCAGTCCCCACGTGTGCACAAAAATGCAAAAAGTTAAAAAAAATTTCGGGGGGATGTTTAAATCCCCCCGAAAGTGCAAGAGCGTCTCCTGCGCATGCGCAGGAGACGCTCTGCAACGCCGCCGCCGCCGCCTCGGAGCCAGCCAGCGAGCTGGCTGGCTGGGAAACATCAGGGCCAGGGGGGTGAAGGGGGAACCAGCAGCCGCCGCCGCTAAGGAGCCTCGCCACCGCCGCCACCTCCGCCTTGGAGCCTGCCGGGCAGGCGGGCGGCCGGGAAACATCAGGGCCAGGAGGGTTAGGGGGGAAACCGCCGCTAAGGAGCCTCGCCGCCGCCTCGGAGCCAGTCAGGCAGGCGGGCGGGCGGCCAGGAAACATCAGGGCTAGGGGGTGAGGGGGGGAGAAAAACGCCGCCGCCGCTAAGGAGCCTCGCAGAGAGACTGTGGGGCGAAGAGAGAGAAGGGGGGAGAGAGAGACTGTGGGGCGTAGAGAGAGAGGGGGGAGAGAGAGAGAGGGGGGGGGAGAGGGAGAGAGACTGGGGGG